AAGATAAGGAAGTTAGATATTCTTTCTGTATAACATTTCTTCTAGAAGCTTTTTGAGAGCCTTGTTGTTATTGCACTTCATTGGGTACAAGTCATACTGTGTATATTTCATGTTGTACTTCATGTGGCTTAGTGCTCTCGGCTTCTGACTTAATGGATTTTCTGTAACTTGAAGTCTTTAAATCATTATTTGAGTCCTTCAGTAACTCAGCCAGAGGTTATAGGTCTATTACAGGAGTATGTGGGTGAGATTGGGGAGGCAGCTGGTGCTGCTTCAGCACCTAACTGTGGCAGAAGACTTCACATTACAAAGGATTTGCTGTACTGGGGCAAAGATTCATAGATTTTTAAGGCCAGAAAGGAGAACCATGATCCTCCAGTTTGATTTCCTGCATAAGACCGAACAAAATATCTGACCCCACGTGACAGTATTTTGCCTACATCATTCTTTTGACTGCTTCATTGCATGGAGTTTTAGTGTACATGTTGTCCATTTACTTGTGTCTGATTTAGACAGCAAGCACTTTGTGTCATGGAGTGTATCTTCTCTATGTTTGTAAAGCACCCTGGGCATTCATAGCATTATAGAAATTATAAAGAAAAATAGTCAAATTTAATTACAGCAGACAACGCTGGTAAGTAAAGATGGGACTTAGAGGAGCTGAGTTCAATTCATGGCTCTGGCTTGGTCACATTGCGCCTCCGCTGCCCATCTATATAAAGGAGATGATAATAATACTATTACTTCCTCCCAGGAATGTTGTGAGGCTACATTTCTTGATGTTTGTGGCTAGAGCTGAGCTATTATGGTGATGGCAGCCATCTAGGTCCCTAGATTGATAAAAGTCTAGTTAAGATACTACTTATCTCATTAGATGTGAACATTTTAATGACCATTCAGTACTCGAACATTCTCACTAGCAGTCATGTTTATTGGACTTTGGATGGAGACCAGGAAGGCAGCAGTAATAACACCCTGGATCCAACCAAGCTGCTGCAGGAAACCTGGCAGTGGCCATATCTGTGACCTTTGCTGTGACTGACATTCTCATTCATCATCCACAACCCGGCAGAGGAGGAGAAGAGGCAACTAACTTCTGCTTCAGTAAATTAACTGGACTTCACTGACTAGTGTGACTAGGAGACTTAAGAGAGAGTGGAGCATCTTTGGGAGCAAGATATATACTTAGAGATGTTCACAGCAATATACATACACACACAGTAATAGGGCTCTTAAATTTGGCTTTACAAACAGTTCCAAAGAGCTGTACAAACATCAATTAATTGTTGACACATTTTTGTAAAGAGAAAACCAGAACTCATAAGAGGTGCAAAACAATGCTGGGAGGTCTCAAATCTGAGCCCATTTCTCTACTCTTATCTTTATTTTTGACATGATCCTTTATACACAATCACAGAAGTCAGAGACAGAAAAGACCTACTAGATCATCCAGTCCATCCCACTGAAAAGTCAGGATTATATTTCATTTATTTATTTATCTTATTTAGGTTTATACAAATGCCAAAAATGGCACCCACCTGTATATTCTAGGTGTCCTTGACATAACTTAACAGTACAACAAAATTAATACCCAAACATAACTAAAGCGCAGCAGTACAATTTAACTCACTGTCAGTAACCCAAGATAACTGAAAAGCCCAAAATCCCTGACCACCCTCCCACAGTTTTCACATACACGGGGAAAGAAGATGAGCTGTGCTGTGTGCTCTGAAGGTCATCAAACTCAACCTGTTTTTTTGGACCAAGGAGAGAGTGAATTCCTAAGCTATGGGGCCCTCCCAGAGAGCACTATGCCAGCAACTTGCTCTTGTCTATACCAGCAGGGATTTAACTTGAGCACCTCTGCAGTGGTTCAGCACAGGGAGAAATGTGAGCTTTTACAAGTCAAATGAAACACCTTAAGTTTCCCCCACAAACCAAGAGGCAACCAGTGCAAATCACAGAACTTGTTGAATATGCTCATGGCAAGACACTCCATTAACGAATGGGCTGTCACATTCTGCATATGAAGTCTTGTTCTTTATTACTGTGTATAATTGATGAAGAGATGGCTAAAGATTTTCAGAGTCCAAAATTAGTCTATTTTTAACTTATGGTTATGGTATTGGTGGTGATGGGATTTCCCGCCCCCCCCCTCCCCCAAAAGCCCATTTTTCAGTAAACAAATTTCAATAATCATTTTGAAAATGTTTTCAAAGTACTCGATAAAAATTCAGAAAAAATATCCAAAAAGCCACCACATTTTTCACAAAACACAAACTTGTTTGGCAACATCCACAATTTTAAAAAATTGTGTTAGAAAAAAGGGCATTTTTCAACAATAACAACAAACCTGTAGTTTGAAAAATATTAACCAGCTCTGCCCAAAATGTAGGATTAGGGCACTGACGGTAAGTGGTGCTCAACAAATTGCTTTTGCCCGTGAATATACGCTATTATAATGAGGGATGATTATAATTTTTTCTTTTGAATAATGCCTTTGGTTTGAAATTATTACTAATTATCATTATCTGTATTGCCACAGTGCCTAGGAGCCTGGTTGTGGGCCAGGGCCCCATTGTGCTTGGCACTATACAAACACAAAGAACACACAGACTGTCCTGCCTCAAAGAGTTTATCATTTGGGGGCTGCACTACACTACACTACAAAGTTAGTTCCGCTTCACTACATCACCCAGGGCTGTGAAAAATTTCACATCCCTGTGCAACATCATTGAGACAACCAAAGGCCCGGTGAAGACACTGCTAAGTCACTGGGAGAATTCTTCCCTTGAACTAGCTACTGCCTCTTGGAGAGGTGGATTTATTACAACAACAGAAGAACCCCTACCTTCTCTGTAGTAAGCGTCTGCGCTTCAGCAGCAGAGCTGCAGCTGTGCCACTGTAGCATTTCTAGTGTAGACGTCGGCTAAGGAAGCTCCTTCCTTCCATCTTTAACACAAATCCTGCTATTACTGAACATGCGCAACCACCAGGCCAATATGCATCTTCACGTGCATATGTAGGTTCTACTTGCAGCACCCTGCTGGTCTGGGAAAGAGAAGAAGAAAGCCCTTTCTTGGCCAGGTTGCTGCCATCATTCTGATGTCCCACTCTTAGAGAGGGAGAGAAACAAAAAGCTAAAGTCACATGGTTATTTCCTACTGGATTGACTTTGACTTTTGACTGCATATGACCGCTTTGTGCTGCCCTCTATCTTATCAGGCACATACACCACTGCAATTAGCAGGAGCCGCTTGCTACCCAGGTGGTAGATTGTCTTATCTTGGAAGCGGTACTGCTTAGAGACTGGGTAGGATGGGAGGCTTGGGGAAGGGAAAGGGGTGAATGAGGGTTCCCCAGCAGCCAAACAGTGAGGCGTTTCCCAGGACTCTGTGTGGGGGCTAAGAGCCAGAAGGGGTGCTGGAAGGTGCTCCTGAAAGGGAGTTTGGGGCATTGCACAGGGGGTGCTTAAGGATTCCCAATGGGGGGTTGCTGGGTGTCTCAAGGGTGGAGGGGAGGTGACATTTTCCCTAGGGTTCTGGGGATGAGTTGGGGCAGGAGGGTTCCCAATGGGGCAATGCTGGATGAGTCAGAGGAGAGGATGCGAGACAGAGGGGCATTTTCCAGAGGTGCTGGGGGATAGGATGGTTCCCACTGTGGGGGAAGGTGGGTGATTTCCTAGGAGCGATAGGGGAGGTAGGAGGTGTTCTCAGTGTGTGGGAAATGGAGCATTGCTCCAGAGTCTGGGGGAAGGGTTCCCAGGAGGGCCTGGGAGGGGACATTGGGCATTGACCCGGGGTGCAGCGGTTGGGTTCCTGGAGGGGGTTGGGTGGGAAACTGCCCCGGTATGTGGCGGGAGAGTTCCCCGGGGGGCGGAAGGGTTCCCCGCACGGACATTGCCCGCGGCTGCGGCAGGAAGGTTCCCGGGGGAGGATCGGGGGTGTTGCGGGGTGGGGGAGGTCCCCGGAGGAGGATCGGGGGTGTTGCCCGGGGGTGGGGGGAGGGTTGGGGTGCGGCGGGAGGGTCCCGGGGCAGGACCGGGGGGCGTTGCCCCGGGGGTGCGGCGGGAGGGTCCCCGGGGGAGGACGGGGGGTTCCCAGGGATGCGGTGGGAGGGGTCCCGGGGGAGGATCGGGGGCTTTGTCCCTGGGGTGGGCGGGAGGGTCCCCGGGGAGGATCGGGGGGCGTTGCCCCGGGGATGCGGCGGGAGGGGTCCCGGGGGAGGAGGGGGGGCGTTGCCCCGGGGGTGCGGCGGGAGGGTTCCCGGGGGAGGATCGGGGGGGGCGTTGCCCCGGGGGTGCGGCGGGAGGGTCCCCGGAGGAGGATCGGGGGGCATTGCCAGGGATGCGGCGGGAGGGGTCCGGGGTAGGACGGGGGCGTTGCCCCGGGGGTGCGGCGGGAGGGTCCCCGGGGGAGGATCGGGGGGCGTTGCCCCAGGGATGCGGCGGGAGGGGTCCCGGGGAGGATCGGGGGGCGTTGCCCCGGGGGAGCGGCGGGAGGGTCCCCGGGGGAGGATCGGGGTGCGGCGGGAGGGTCCCGGAGGAGGATCGGGGGCATTGCCAGGGATGCGGCGGGAGGGGTCCCGGGGGAGGACGGGGGGGGCGTTGCCCCGGGGGTGCGGCGGGAGGGTTTCCGGAGGAGGATCGGGGGGCACTGCCCCAGGGATGCGGCGGGAGGGGTCCCGGGGGAGGACGGGGGGGGCGTTGCCCCGGGGGAGCGGCGGGAGGGTCCCCAGGGGAGGACCGGGGAGCATGTGGCGGGATGGCTCCCCGGAGGCAGGGCAGTGGGGGCCGCTGCTCCGCCCGCCGCCCGTGGGTCGCTCCGTGGGCGGGGGCGGGGCGGCGCCGCGCGGTCCCTCCCCTGGGCAGTGTCTCCGCCCGGCCCTTTAACCGCCGGGCCGCCCCGCCCCCGCGCTGTCCGGCCGGGCCGTGTCCGCAGAGCGGCCGCGCGCGGGGCCCGTCTGGCCGGGGGCAGCGCCCGGGCGGTGCAGGGCGGGCGGCGCGGCGCAGCGCGGGGCTCGGCCCGGGCCATGGGGCTGCGGGGCCGCCGCCGCCGCCTCCTGCTGCCGCTGCTGGGGCTGCTGCTGGGGCTCGGGCTGGGGCTGCTGCCCGGCGCGGCGCGCGGCTTCGGGGAGGACGAGGAGCGGCGCTGCGATGCCATCCGCATCGCCATGTGCCAGAACCTGGGCTACAACGTCACCAAGATGCCCAACCTGGTGGGGCACGAGCTGCAGGCGGACGCGGAGCTGCAGCTCACCACCTTCACCCCGCTCATCCAGTACGGCTGCTCCAGCCAGCTCCAGGTGGGTGCCGCCGCCGCCCTGGCCCGCCCCTTGCACTCCCTGCCCCGGGCCCCGCTCCCTGAACGCCAGGCCCGCGAGGCAGGGTGTGCGGGGGGGCTCCTGCCGGTGCCAGGAGCCGCCAGCGCGGGGGTCTCCCCCCCACCTCCGCCGGGCCCCCCGCCGTGGCAAGCCCCGCACGAGTGACATTCGGCAGCGGCGCTCGCGCCAGGGATCTGGGCCGCGGCCAGAGGATCCCTCTCGTGGGGCAAACCCGAGCGGGGCAGACTGCAGGGAAAGGGCTGCCGTTATGGTACCAGCTGCACCCCTAAATGCTGTAAATCCCCCCCCCCCATTTATTTCCCAACCTAATCTGCTCCTAAGGTGCTAAACTAATGGTTTCTAGAGTGGAAAGAGACCGTTTCGCTTCCAGCAGCAGGGACTATCCCGAATCCCCCCCGTTTTACTTCTTGCATTTGTTCTGCGAACTTCCCACGGACTCCCAAGTTTCAATCTGTTGCATTTCTTGCCTTTGTTTTGTAAATCTCCTTCAACCTAGTTTCCCTGCTGCCGATTTGGGAGCAGCCGTGGGCGGGTTTCGGGTTATTTCTTAGCCCAAGTTTCTAGGATAGAAGAGCGTGAAAATATCTGCTGGGGTAAACAAAAGTTTTAAAAGAAACTATTAAAAGGGTTAAACAAAGATACATTTGGAAACTTCCAGCTGCAAAGTGGCTCAAGATTAGCTTTCCCCTCTGGGTGTGAATCTACAGATAAGAAGGTACAATAAGGTTACAATAGCATTTAATCTCACAGTTTACAGTTGCTGAGAGACTGAAGTAAATACACAAGGAGCCCCGTTCCCAGTCCTCTTTCTGGAGTAACCTCCACACAAAGTCAGAAGCTAGGAGAAGAAGCCAAACTTTTCTGTCGATTGGCATGCTGTACTTGTTTATGTTCCCTTTGGTAGCCCAGGAATTTGGACTAGTGTGAAGACTAAAGGGAACACCCTAAATCAGGGTTAATAAATTGGCTGATCTCTCTTTTTATGGGTTTGAAAATGTCATTTAGCCTAATATTAAAAATATGACTTTTACAGATCAAGGCATGTGAACTTTCTCACTGACTTCTTAAAGAAAAATATTTATCCTTGAACACCATGAAAGTACAGCGTATACTAAACAGACAGTTTCAAGGACATGACTTTCCAGTTCAGATGCTTGCACATAAAGTCCTTCACTTATAACCATAGATGACAGTTGTTATGTGTATGGAGCTGGTGAACCAATGTGCATCCAGACATAATGGACAGAGGAGGTGAACATATGTGTGACTTGTCATAAAAAAACAAAGGGACATAGCATAAAATTGTGGTAAGAGGACCCCCTCCAGTAACTTCACTGTAGGAGTTGCTCTCCCATATTAATGGCAAGATCCCTGTCCTAGCCCATGACTTAGATATTGTTGAATAACAAACTTACTTCTTCAGATAGTTGTATCCAAACTAATAATTGCTTGGCATTTTTCTTAAATGATCAGTTTTACACACAGATCTATTTGCTTTGTGTGTACCAGAATTACAAGAGTCAAGTACTGAGCAAATTATTGTCCTAACTTCATTATAAGAGAAAATACGATTTACAAAGACCAAGTTCAACCATGAATGTTGTTAATTCAATGAGCTCTTAATATTTTAACTGTTTTATTTCAAGTTTTAAATATCTCTATGCAGTCTCAAAAACTAAGGTCTATATATTTGTGTTAAAGTTTAAATTACTTATTCAGTTGGTGTTTTGCCCTCCTAAACTGTAAATTTGAGGCTTAGATCTAGGGCTAAGTTCTGCTCGCCTTGCGTGAATTTGGCCCATTGACTTCAGTAAAGCTAATTCTAGTGAGTAAAGTGATCAAGATTTGGCCTTAAAACACTTTTTGAATTGAAAACAAGGGCTGAGGTTTTTAGGATTTTTTCCCTTGGTTTCTTTACTACATGCTGCTCCTTGCTTACTTAGGCAAAGTAACTGAACAGTTAAAGAGGATAGAGAGGGAACTTGCTATATAGTCTACCATTTGTATCTTCTTTTAAGCACAAGTTTGACTATTGTTTTTCTCTTCCAGTTCTTCCTTTGTTCAGTCTATGTTCCAATGTGCACAGAGAAGATTAACATCCCAATAGGTCCCTGCGGTGGCATGTGCCTTTCCGTCAAAAGAAGATGTGAACCTGTTCTGAAAGAATTTGGATTTGCCTGGCCAGACAGTCTAAACTGCAGTAAATTCCCACCCCAAAATGACCATAACCACATGTGTATGGAGGGTCCAGGGGATGAAGAGGTTCCCCTTCACAGCAAGACATCCTTGCAGCCAGGAGAAGAGTGTCACACAATGGGATCTAATTCAGAGCAGTATATCTGGGTAAAAAGAAGCCTGAGCTGTGTCCTTAAGTGTGGCTATGATGCTGGTCTCTATAGCAGATCAGCTAAGGAATTCACTGATATCTGGATGGCCGTGTGGGCTAGCCTGTGCTTCATATCAACGGCCTTCACAGTCCTGACCTTCCTGACTGATTCGTCCAGGTTTTCCTACCCTGAGCGCCCCATCATATTTCTGAGCATGTGCTACAATATTTATAGCATTGCTTATATTGTGAGGCTGACTGTAGGCCGGGAAAGGATATCCTGTGATTTTGAAGAGGCAGCAGAACCTGTTCTTATCCAAGAAGGTCTTAAGAACACAGGATGTGCTATAATTTTCTTACTGATGTATTTTTTTGGGATGGCTAGCTCCATCTGGTGGGTGATTCTGACATTAACATGGTTTCTAGCAGCAGGACTCAAATGGGGCCATGAGGCTATAGAAATGCACAGCTCCTATTTCCATATTGCAGCCTGGGCTATCCCTGCAGTGAAGACCATAGTCATCTTGATTATGAGACTGGTAGATGCAGATGAGCTCACTGGTCTGTGTTATGTCGGCAACCAGAACCTAGATGCACTCACTGGCTTTGTCGTTGCTCCGCTTTTCACCTACTTGGTTATTGGAACTTTATTCATAGCAGCAGGTTTAGTGGCCTTATTTAAAATCAGGTCTAATCTTCAAAAAGATGGGACTAAAACTGACAAGCTGGAAAGACTGATGGTCAAAATTGGTGTCTTTTCCGTTCTATACACTGTCCCAGCTACATGTGTAATTGCATGTTACTTCTATGAAATCTCCAACTGGGCTATCTTCCGCTATTCAGCGGATGATTCCAATATGGCAGTGGAGATGCTCAAAATTTTCATGTCTCTGCTGGTGGGTATCACATCTGGCATGTGGATTTGGTCTGCCAAGACTCTGCACACGTGGCAGAAGTGCTCTAACAGACTGGTGAACTCAGGGAAAGTGAAACGAGAGAAGAGAGTGGATGGTTGGGTGAAACCTGGGAAAGGGAATGAGACTGTGGTGTAAACAAAACCTCTGTGCTGACATCTCTTCCAAGAAGGACTTGTGTATAAACACTTGCAGTAGAAATGTTGCTGGGGTGGTATGGGGAGGTAAAGTACAAAATCTGTCTCTGAAAAGAAACCTTAAAGAATAAGCAATAATTTCAAAAACAGAATAATCATAAAGCACGCTGCCCAAAATACAAAAGCCCGGGGAGGCTTTGAAAGCTGTGAAAAATCTGAATGTCACATTTTTGTAAAGCAGGTTGCAATATATTAGTGTCATTAGAAGCCACAGGGTCTTGCATCTTGTTACTTGGGTTGCCGATTTTCCTGAATCATGTTACAGTGCATGGAGGATGAGGGCCAAATTCTGGGCTGGGTTAGGGTCCAATCCTGTGAGGCAATGGGTGCTCTCAGCTTCAATTGACAGCATCACTCCCTTTGAATTCAGTGTCTTAAGGGATGTGGTCAGCACCTTTTAGGATTGGACCCATAGCCGATACAGCCTGTTGCCTTCATCAGTGTTGCACGGTGCATAATTCAGCCAAAGATTAGGTCCTCATGCAAATGCCAGCGAAGCTTTCCAGGTATAAAAACAACTCAAACAGGGAATTTGTAGGATTCGGTTAGGTGTTAGGATGGATTGCTGTATAGCTCAGCTGACAACCTAATACTAACCTCTACATTGGCACGCGCTTTGCTCTCTAAAACATCAGTACTTCATTTGATGTGTTTAGAAGCTTCACTCAGTACTTTCTTTTATCAGAAGTAGATTAACTGGGAGATTGAAGCATAACAGCATATATAGTTTCCATTTATCTCCCTGCCCCCTTTTATCCTTTTTTGATAACCTGGCTATTTCCAGACTCTGACTACTTTATTCCTTTGCATTAATAACTTAGGGTTTTTCTTTTAATAGCTCTCCTTCCTACTGCAATATACAGCTGAGGGAAAGTGAATGAAGGCTCACTTTGGACAAACTCTTTATTCAGCAGAACATGTAGTTTTTCTCCAAGTAAACTTATCTGGCTCTCCCCGGAGACCTATTGCATTAAGCAATTAAGACTTAATATATTTCACTCTGTGTGATTACATCTATGCAGACGCCAGTCTGGGAAAAGTGAAATGTTAAGTTACTTGGCAACTTCATGTTAACACAGATCATTCGTATAAGTGTGTGTGTCAATTAAAAATAAAAGAACATTCTCCAGCCATGACATAGCAGTACAGCTGACTGGCTCAAACTGATGGTCACTGAAAGTGACTTAAAAAAAAATTTTTATATGTAAGAATGTAATCAGACTTCAGCAACAATGGAGACATTTTCCTTTTTGAAAAGGGCTCCATGGAGAAGAAATCCAACTTCTTCTTGGTGAGTAATATGTTTCCTAGTTAGTGGCAAGGTTCCTTGCCCTTGGCATGTCATGTTCATAGGGAGCATGAGACTAATGAATGCCACAGTCCAGCTTGATTAACAGGAAGTATAATGTAAACCTAAATAAAGAGCAGCATTTAAGTGCTCCCCTTGAAAGACCCACCAGTAGCTTCCCCTGTGTGCCCTAAAATCTTGCTTTGTCTTCAGTGTATGGCAGTGATTCTCAAACTTTTGTACTGGTGACCCCTTTCACATAGCAAGCCTCTGAGTGTGACCCCCCCTTATAAATGGAAAAACATTTTTTAATATATTTAATACCATTATAAATGCTAGAGGCAAAGCAGGGTTTGGGCTGGAGGCTGACAGCTTGCGACGCCCCCATGTAATGACCCAGTTTGACAACCCCTGGTGTATGGGTGCCTGATCAAGGGAGATGCTGAGTGCCTTCAATTTCTGTGGACTTAAGTGGTAGCTGAGGGTTCTGTGGTCTTTTGTAGGATGAGGCAGGCCTGAAAGGGGTCCCCCCTCTATCTCTCAAACTGTGTTAAAGGCCTGCATTGTGTCTGTGTTGAAATATGTGCTTAAAAACAAAACAACCTCATTTCAGTCTGCGCAGTTGGGATCAGTCACTAGCAGAGCAAGTGACAACTTGACTCATTCTACCCACAACACACCATTATTTTGATCAGCTCTATGTACTAGCTGAGTGTTCCAAATCCAATCCTTTATCAAGTCTCTTCTGTTGGATGGTAATGCCTTGTTGGATCTATGTATTCTGGTCTGGAAACAGTTTTGCAAGAATGAAAGCTGTGGATGGCTGGGCTTCACCATGATGCTTGATCTATTTACGATTGAAATGAGGATGCCAAATCAGAAGCTAGCTCTAAATTCTGAGGGGTGAAGGCGAGAAAGTGAGTGCGCCAAATTCATCCAGGAGTCCCTCCAGTGAAGTCACTGGTTAAGGACGCTCGGGGATTCATACACACTGAACTTCATGCTATTTGATGTGATTGACCTATACACTTTTATCCTCGTCATCCCAGAATTTAAGGGATGACCTTTCCTGTTATCATTGAATTTCAGAGCATGACTCAGTAGATCTCTTACTAGAATGATAGCACTGGTGATTAGTGACATCTGAAAGTGAGTCAGATGAGGATGATGTTTCCTTACATTGCAGGGTGAGGGGAAGATAAATCCATGAAAGTTGTGAGGCACTCAGATAGTATGGGGATAGCAGCCACATAGTGACCATTCTCCCTTGGAGGCATTGTGCCTGTCTGAGGCACGGTGGGCCTAAATTCTCTTGCAGTTATGTACCAGAGCTCAGTGAATTTCTTCCTGATTTACTTCCAGGTAATGAGGCAGAGCATCTGACCCAGGGCCGCAGAAGCCCCTCTGAAAAGGCACAACTTAACTATGTGCATTTACCTTGCTATTCTAGTTGTTCGGGCATTTGTTATTGGAAAAGCCACTCTAGATCAAGTCTGAAGCACGTAGTTACGAAGACTGAATATCGGCAACTCGGTTTCTCTCATTTCAACGTAGTTATGAATTTAAAACCAAACAATGTGTGACTAATCCTGCCTTGGAATTGCAGTTGCTGTGGCTATAGAGCTCAAAACTTTACAACAGTTACTTTTTCTGCCGAATCCCTTCTCCTTTCTCTCTCACGCCAGTCCCAACCCCAGTTGGTGTTTTGTGCTGACGTACAGGATTCTGAAATGTCTGACAGACAGGTACAAGCGAAACTACTTATGATAGAGCTTCAGAAAGAGAAACTAACTTGTTGAAGGGAATGGACACTGATAATTTTTTAGATGTACAGAAAGTATATCTGCATTGATGTATGTACTGTAAATTTCTAATTTATCACTGTACAAAAAACTTTGCTATTTAATTTTTCTATCAAAATAAAATTTTGTTAACCTCTGTGAATAAGTAATGGATTCTTCTTGTGTCTTGATTTTTTTGGGGGAGAGGGGGTGGGAGTTTCCTTTCATAAACTGTCTTTATCCTCCTGTTGCAAACACAAAGCATTGTGGGTTTTTTGCTTTTCCACCATCACCCCCTCCCTTTCTTCCTTTCTAAGTGAAGAGTGTCGTGCCAAGCTCAGGGCAGAGACCTGCAACTGGTGTTGTGTTCTATAATTAGCTTTCACCAACCCAGTAACAAGTGTGAACTCCTGAAGCACTAGAATCGTCTTATCATAGAGTCTGACAGTCCCTTTGGGCACTACAGTCTATTTTGCCACCCAGACAAGCTGGACTTAGTGATAGCTGGTTGCCGTACACCAAAGATGCAGGTTGCTTCCAATCCCAAGAGACCAGTCACTTACCCTAGGTCAATTTGTATCTCAGATCTCACCCCAAAGACAAAGCTTGTAGCCAATCCTGTAGCAAACTGACTAAGGATTAATTAACTAAGAAAAGAAATGAGTTATTACAAGGTTAAAGCAAGCAAACATATACACTGAGTTTACGGTCTAGGGTTTTAAAAGGTGACTGTTGTATTAATCTCTCAGCACTGTATGCCTTTTAGGGATAACCCAGGTTGGCCCTGGGGTTCTCTGCTTCTGTTTCATAGCTCCAACCCTGTAAGAATCCTAAATCCAGAGAGATGAAAATTCTCTTGTTCCTTATTTTTATTTCCTTCCAGAGTTCAAGCTGATGGGAAGAGCCCTCTTGAATGTAACCTCTTTGTGAGTATGAAGGGGCAATTGACAAAGCATTTGTGTTGTGATGTCTCATAATGGCCCATTTAGTTTTGATAGCCTTCTTGGTGAGCAGAAGAAGATCCCTGCTGACAGTTTCAGGGCAAACTTTTTTTTTTCCAGTTATAAAGCAAAAACTTAAATATTGCCTTACACTGTATGATAAAAGATGTGAGATTATTTTATGCACTAATTTACAAGCATTTCACATTGTTATGAGGTCAATACCCATCTTAAGCATACTAACATGCAAGTGAAACAGACTGGCTTCCAGCACCTGGTTTGCCAGCGTTACACAGAAAACTGAAATGCTTCACTTAAATGAGTTAGAACTTTGGCCTAAGACCTACATTTGGGTCCAAGCTGGGCAAGAGTGCTCCCAGCTATCATTAGTGGACAACAGATAAAATTCAAGACATGTTTCAGCTTCTTGAGCAGCCTTATTCCAGGAAGCCCTAAGTCTGAGTGAGAAGGAATGTTTCCGAAGGGGGTGGTTGGGTTCAAAAGCATTGGTGAGGAAGCAGGACTGGGCTGTAGCTTTTCTGCAGTGCATCCAGGCTTGCCTGAATAGATAGTCAAACCTCTTCACATGCTGAGATGTATGGCACAGCTCTAAAATGACCATGGAGCAACCTGCTACTGCTCTATTAGTGACTTTAGGGGAAAAACAAGCAACGCACGGCCTGGTCCTGCTATTTTTGTTCAAGTAAGGCTCCCCTCTGCTTCAAGTATGGAAGGATTGGTTTTAAAACATGGAATGCATTCAGAACCTAGAATGAAGGTAGATAACTTCAGCAAAATCATTTTGCCTACTAAGGGCACTCAGTATTGCTGGTGGCTTTTGTAGGGGCCAAATTCTGTTTTTAGTAATCCATCTGTAAATACATTGACTAGTATAGTTATTCCAGTGCAACTGAAAGTCTTTTCCTTTTTTACTCCATGTTTGTTCATCAGTTAAGAATTGTCTGTTAGTCTTTTCACCAGCTAGTTTGACATCAGAATTACAGTTTATGGTATAATTATTTTACAACTCACAAATTGTTTACATTAGGAGTGCACAGGATTACTTAGATTAGTATAATCTTTAATACTTAACTAAATCACAAGGGAGAGCTGATAGTAATCAGCTCTTATAAAGGAGACTATAGGAATTGTGTACTAATCAGTCTCGCTTTTCCTAAAGAGGGGCCATAATTTGATATGAGGCCACTTACCTCATACAGAACCTAAAGTGAACTTTCCACTGGTCCTTGTTAGATTATTTAACTGAGAAATTAACAGCACCATTTCCTAAAGTTCTCTGGCCACAGACCAGAGACAGCACTGCTATTGACAATGTGAGTTAATTCACGCTAGCATGCCTCAATGCTGACCTGGAGGGATACAAGAGTGTGGGAGAGACTAGCTCAGTCTGCATAAACCTATAATCCATGTTCTCCTCTGAGACAGCAAGCTCCTAGTAACTATGGTGATGGATGTTGTGAGGTGGACACTCTTGCTAGTAAGAACAAAGCTATGTTCACACAGCTCACTACATAGCTTTCAGTGACTTTTAGCTGCAATGTAGGCTAGCTTTGAACGGGTGACCTAGAAATGAAAGCCACAACCGCTGGCCCTCTAGAGCATTCCAGTGTACCCTGCTTGTCAGTGCTCTTGTCAACAAACCTGCACAAAGAGGTTTTACAAGACATCAAAATAATATACATAGAGTTTGTAGCACTGGATTTAATCCAGGGGAGTTCAGTTACAGATTGTCAAAGTTTAGTGAGTTAGAGCACCGTAGTATAGAGCATCTTCTTATCTTTGCAAAGCTCCATCCAAACTCTGTCACAGGTGCAGTGGATGGTCCTGATTTACAGCTACATTAAGACCACTTCGTGGTGCTCCACCAAAAGCAGAGTAAGAGGATCATCCCAGTAGAGAGGGCTCTTCTAGTGGTGTAGAACTGGTACAGAAGACCACTGCTGCTTCCTCCAGCTGCCAGAGGGAGCGTGGCTAGGGGTCCTGTGCCCTCTGGCAAACTCCAGCTGCTGTAACAGCCTTTGGTGGTTGGTAACAGCCAGCTGTTTTGGTTTATGCTTGGGGTCGGGACCAGCCCAGTACACAGCCAACCTAGGAGTGGGGGAGTGAAAAGGTGGTTTAAAGGGTAAACGCAGCTAATGAGAATTAATCTGGCAAGATAATTTAAGGAATCACTGCTCTTCCGTCTTCCTAGGTTATTTACAGTGTGTCCATCACCCTGGAATCTGGGTGTCTGTTCTTAAGGGTTTATATTCACAGAGCAACAGAACAAACATACAATTTAAATTCCAGACCAAAATCTTGTTGTAGTGCAAGGTTTATCTTAGTTTATAAATTCAGATTTGTTTTTTGGCTTATTTGCCTGCCAGTAGGCTGTCTAGCAGTAAAAAAGCCAACTTACACAGTTAAATTTCAGAGGTGGTGTCTGTCTTCATTTTCTAAATCAATAGGTTAGAACATCCAAACACCAGTAAAAGAACTCACTGTCTGCAGTTATACCAGTAAACAGGACTTCCTTTTGTATTAACACCAGTATTTAGCTAATATCCTGACTGCTTCTCCTATTTCGTGAACTTACTCTGAAGAAAGAAAAACATCCGGCCGGAACAGCAAATAATTGGAAAATCTGCCTCTCTAACATACTAGTAAGGAGTGATAAATAATACTCATAAGATGCTTACTGCAGGCTACATGCAGAAGCGGCCAATATTAAATGCTTTAGACTGAGAGGGTAACTGTAAATGTTCTAAAGCATATTCTGAAGTGATCCGAGTAACAGGCATTAAGTCAATGCTATTTTTACTCAAGTGCTTAAAAATGATTACAAATAAAGATCCACACAATAGTAGAATTTAATTCTTTTCAAAAGATTTTTTACAGCCAGCGTAGCTTTCTGCTTGAAAACATGGGACGTGTGCCATCTAGTGGTAGCATTAGGCCAGGGGTTCTCACAACAAATTTTTTGGTGGCTTCAGAGTGAGGCCGCCAACTCTTGTTGGTGGCCGCCAACTCTTGTTGGTGGCCGCTCTGACAATTTTTCCTAAAATACTTAATCAACTTCAGGAAAAACAAATAAATACACACATCTACATGTCCAAATCATTGTAATTTATTTATGTTGGGGTTTTTTTGCAGACTTAATAATAAAAATAATGTATAGTTTTCTATTTTCTTTACTGGACCTAAGCAGAATAGAAACAAATAAGGTGCTTTACATGTTCTTGTCTTTTGTTGTTGGTTGCTTTTTTTTTAGTCTTGCTAGTCTGCTTCTGTGAAAAGTGATATCTGTATGTTTTCTAATATCACTTTCCACAGTAGCAGATTTTTAGTGATCTGTGAGGCTGTGAACAGTGATACTAACAAACATACAAATATTGCTTTTCACAACAAACTTACTTAGCCCTGGCAAGCCGAGGGACAAATTATGCCCCAGATGGGGAGGTGGGGAGGCAGTGGGGGCCAGATGCAATGGGGTGGGCGGGTGGATGAGGAGTCCGGGGAGGCAGTGGGGGTCAGGGGGTGTTGGTGAGCCTGGGGGCAGAGCCCAGGACTGGAGCTCTGCAGCCGCATGGCTAAAGCCTGGCGCCGGAGGACGTAGCGGGGACCAGGAGCGATGTGGGGTGGTGAGCCTGGGGCCGGCACCTGTTGCCGCATGACTGGAGGCCAGGGCAAGAGCCCATGGCTCTGAGGCCAGACCGTGAAACCCTGTGGCCGGAGAACAGAGCCCACCATCTGCCACCCCAAGGCTGAAGCCAGAAGCCCGAACCCCACCACCCCGGGAAGGTGGGGAACAAACAAAAGTGGCCTGCCTCTCTGGTGTGTGTGGCTCCAGAAGGGGCAGAACCCAATCCCTGCTGACGGCCCTGGGGAGGGGCCGCTGCTTTGTGCCCCACCTCCTTTCACCACCCAGGAGGCTGTGGCTGAACAAAAAGCCCCTGGTGGCTACATGCAGCCATGCTGGCCACATTTGAGAAACACTGCATTAGGCAGACTATCTTTCATTCCATACCACCTGCAATCCACCTACGTGACCCCCATTCATGCTGGAAGTGTACACAAATTTCAAGGACAGCATGTAGTACCTCCTTCGGGAAAATGGGAAAAGTTAGTTATTCTTGTCACTATTACAGTGGATATGGCACCAGGCTGGGAATTAAAATCCAAGGTTCCTTCCCTAGCTCGTCACACAGGCTGGATGCTGT